TGACCCAGAAAAACATAACTTCAACTTCCAAACACAGGATAGGTGGATGACTGCAAAGATAATTTTACCAAGTTAGTTTAGATTATGTTAACTTTAGGTTAGGTTAATCATGAAATAAAATAACTGAAGGAAGGAAGTTGACCCAAAGTTGTATATAAGCTGTATGACAATATTCTCTCACAAGGAGGTACATGAAAGGTAAATCTTAACCTTATGAGTTGAGAGAGCGGCACACAGGACGGATGTGGCCGCGGTTGTAGCACAGGTAACAAACAGCTTCTCGGTATTTGCAGTTCTCGGCCTGATGATTGCCACCACAACACCTGCAGCGTTGAGGTATTATTACGGTGCTGTGGGGGTTGTTGTGAGGGGTGTGGGGGTTGTTATGAGGGGTGTGGGGGTTGTTATGAGGGGTGTGGGGGTTGTTGTGAGGGGTGTGGGGGTTGTTGTGAGGGGTGTGGGGGTTGTTGTGAGGGGTGTGGGGGTTGTTATGAGTGTGGGGGTGTTATGAGTGGGTTGTGAGAGAGCTGTGGGGTTGTTATGAGGGGTGTGAGGGTTGTTTTGTGAGGGGTGGGGTGTTGAGGGGTGTGGGGGTTGTTATGAGGGGTGTGGGGGTTGTTTTGAGGGGTGTGTTTCTTGTAAGAGTTGTATTTCTTGCCCTTCTTCAGTTTATCATCAGTACACATAACAAGTTCTTTACTGGTTCTAGACATGTCCTGGCCATGACCAATACACCGTGCTGTAGCCTGGCTCATTGTAAGGTTAGGAACAGTTAATAAATATCTTTGTATATCTTTCATGGAGTTATGTAGACCACAGACGAGTCTATCACGTAAAGCCTCCTGTAGAAACGACCCAAAGTTACATGTCTGTGATAGTTTAGTTATTCTGTTAATATATTCCACCACAGGTTCATCTTCTCTCTGATTAGCTGTCCAGAAGTTATATCGTTCATTAATCTCAACAGGTATTGGGTCATAATGAGTAGTTAATAATCTTTTTAACTCATTATAAGTCTTGGTATTCGGGTTGTCTGGGTCACACAACCTCTTGAGCAATTTGTAAGCCTCAGCACCAATAGTTGCCAGGAAGAGGTTAGCCCGCTTGTTATCAGGGATGTCGTTAGCCTCCATAAAAGCATCACATCTGCCACTGTAGTCACCAAATTGTTCTTTCTTATCATCATATACACCGATGTTCCCGTACACAGCCATCATTGTATTCTGTGGTTAAAGTTATCTCAGGTGTAACATGATGACTGATTCTCTCTCTTGGAGTATTAGTGTTTATTTACAGTATGTCACCTGGGGTAGTATAGCCACCTCCTACACACACACACACAGACACACACACACACAGACACACACACACACACACTGGCGGAAAGTTTAAACACACACACACACACACACACACTGGCGGAAAGTTTAAACACACACACACACACAAGAGGTTAGTACAGATATGATACCAGGATTTATAAACACTACATATCAGTGGTGTTGGGGTACTGTGGGCTGGGTGTAGTGTTGGGGTACTGTGGGCTGGGTGTGTGGTGTTGGGGTACTGTGGGCTGGGTGTGTGGTGTTGGGGTACTGTGGGCTGGTGTGTGGTGTTGGGGTACTGTGGGCTGGGTGTGGTGTTGGGGTACTGTGGGCTGGTGTGGTGTTGGGGTACTGTGGGCTGGGTGTGTGGTGTTGGGGTACTGTGGGCTGGTGTGTGGTGTTGGGGTGCTGTGGGCTGGTGTGTGGTGTTGGGTACTGTGGGCTGGGTGTGGTGTTGGGGTACTGTGGGCTGGGTGTGGTGTTGGGGTACTGTGGGCTGGTGTGTGGTGTTGGGGTGTGGGCTGGGTGTGTTGGGTACTGTGGGCTGGGTGTGTGGTGTTGGGGTACTGTGGGCTGGGTGTGTGGTGTTGGGGTACTGTGGGCTGGGTGTGGTGTTGGGGTGCTGTGGGCTGGGTGTGGTGTTGGGGTACTGTGGGCTGGGTGTGGTGTTGGGGTACTGTGGGCTGGGTGTGGTGTTGGTGCTGTGGGCTGGGTGTGTGGTGTTGGGGTACTGGGCTGGGTGTGTGGTGTTGGGGTACTGTGAGCTGGGTGTGGGTGTTGGGGTACTGTGGGCTGGGTGGTGTTGGGGTACTGTGGGCTGGGTGTGTGGTGTTGGGGTACTGTGGGCTGGGTGTGTGGTGTTGGGGTACTGTGGGCTGGTGTGTGGTGTTGGGGTGGGCTGGTGTGTGGTGTTGGGGTACTGTGGGCTGGTGTGTGGTGGTGTTGGGGTACTGTGGGCTGGTGTGTGGTGTTGGGGTACTGTGGGCTGGGTGTGTGGTGTTGGGGTCTGTGGGCTGGGTGTGTGGTGTTGGGGTACTGTGGGCTGGGTGTGGTGTTGGGGTACTGTGGGCTGGGTGTGGTGTTGGGGTACTGGGCTGGGTGTGTGGTGTTGGGGTACTGTGGGCTGGGTGTGTGGTGTTGGGGTGCTTGGGCTGGGTGTGTGGTGTTGGGGTACTGTGGGCTGGTGTGTGTGGTGTTGGGGTACTGTGGGCTGGGTGTGGTGTTGGGGTACTGTGGGCTGGGTGTGGTGTTGGGGTACTGTGGGCTGGGTGTGTGTGGTGTTGTTGGGGTACTGTGGGCTGGGTGTGGTGTTGTGGGGGTACTGTGGGCTGGGTGTGGTGTTGGGGTACTGTGGGCTGGTGTGTGTGGTGTTGGGGTACTGTGGGCTGGGTGTGGTGTTGGGGTACTGTGGGCTGGGTGTGGTGTTGGGGTACTGTGGGCTGGGTGTGGTGTTGGGGTACTGTGGACTGGGTGTGGTGTTGGGGCACTTGGAGGTATGGTGTTGGGGTACTGTGGGCTGGGTGTGGTGTTGGGGCTGTGGGCTGGGTGTGTGGTGTTGGGGTACTGTGGGCTGGTGTGTGGTGTTGGGGTACTGTGGGCTGGGTGTGGTGTTGGGGGACTGTGGGCTGGGTGTGGTGTTGGGGTACTGTGGGCTGGGTGTGTGGTGTTGGGGTACTGTGGGCTGGGTGTGTGGTGTTGGGGTGACTGTGGGCTGGGTGTGTGGTGTTGGGGTACTGTGGGCTGGGTGTGGTGTTGGGGTACTGTGGGCTGGGTGTGTGGTGTTGGGGGTACTGTGGGCTGGGTGTGTGGTGTTGGGGTACTGTGGGCTGGGTGTGTGGTGTTGGGGTACTGTGGGCTGGTGTGTGGTGTTGGGGTACTGTGGGCTGGGTGTGTGGTGTTGGGGTACTGTGGGCTGGGTGTGTGGTGTTGGGGGTACTGTGGGCTGGGTGTGTGGTGTTGGGGTACTGTGGGCTGGGTGTGGTGTTGGGGTACTGTGGGCTGGGTGTGGTGTTGGGGTACTGTGGGCTGGGTGTGTGGTGTTGGGGTACTGTGGGCTGGGTGTGTGGTGTTGGGGTACTGTGGGCTGGGTGTGGTGTTGGGTACTGTGGGCTGGGTGTGGTGTTGGGTACTGTGGGCTGGGTGTGGTGTTGGGGTACTGTGGGCTGGTGTGTGGTGTTGGGGTACTGTGGGCTGGGTGTGGTGTTGGGGTACTGTGGGCTGGGTGTGTGGTGTTGGGGTACTGTGGGCTGGGTGTGGTGTTGGGGTACTGTGGGCTGGGTGTGTGGTGTTGGGGTACTGTGGGCTGGGTGTGTGGTGTTGGGGTACTGTGGGCTGGGTGTGGTGTTGGGGTACTGTGGGCTGGGTGTGGTGTTGGGGCACTATAGGAAGGTATGGTGTTGGGGTACTTAACACTATAACGGTCCTACAGTACAAGATAGTGCACCAAACACTATAATAGTCCACTACAGTACAAGATAGTGCACCAAACACTATAATGGTCCACTACAGTACAAGATAGTGCACCAAACTATAATGGTCACTACAGTACAGATAGTGCACCAAACACTATAATGGTCCACAAACACTATAATGGTCACTACAGTACAAGATAGTGCACCAAACACTATAATGGTCCCAAACACTATAATGGTCACTACAGTACAAGATAGTGCACCAAACACTATAATGGTGCACCAAACACTATAATGGTCCACTACAGTACAAGATAGTGCACCAAACACTATAATGGTCCACTACAGTACAAGATGGTACACCAAACACTATAATGGTCCACTACAGTACAAGATAGTGCACCAAACACTATAATAGTCCACTACAGTACAAGATAGTGCACCTAACACTATAATGGTCCACTACAGTACAAGATAGTGCACCAAACACTATAATAGTCCACTACAGTACAAGATAGTGCACCAAAACACTATAATTATATTTATAGATTAAAATTCACACACTATACTCACCAGGTACACAATATTTGGTATTATAATAGTCACTATAGGAGAGAGGGTCGACCCTGTCCCCCACCACTCAGCAGACAACGAGCAGTAATCAATACCTTGTCTCTCAAACTACACCTCAACACCTTATATGTGACTTCTATACAGTCATATATATATTAATTAAAGGAATTATTACTATATATAGATTTATAAGTGTATATAATATGAAGAATTGTGTTATATAGGGTTAATGAGATTTATAGATGGAATTATTTTTTAGTAGTGGTATATAGATTAATTAACACTTTTTTAACTGTTTATATGAAGGAAATATATATAGTTGTTTGTAAGTAAATTATAAATGTATATAGATGTGTAATTTGCATATACATGACTGTGATGGGAGGTAGAAATTATTATGACTTTATATATCAGTAAGGCTATATTGATACCTTATATAGTATAGAATATCACTAAAAATTAAGAATATATTAAGTTTTTATATAATATTACAAGAAAAAGAAGAAATATAAGAAAAATATATATTGAATATTTTGTCATATTATACCAGAATTATCACCGTTTATATTGAATATATTTATGGAGTTAAAAATCATATAAATTATATTATACTTATTCAATTGATAAATTATCTAATTAAATTGATAAATAGTGTATATTTTTAGATGATAAATTGGGAAATAGATGGAATAAATAAGAAAATAACTCTATTGGAACCCGGTTTTAAGGAGCCTCTCAAGATGTCAACAAACAGCTCACTACAGGTTCAGATTTTACTAAGTTAATATTTGTTATTATTTTCTCTTATTATCTCACTATTACTTTATTAAATGTCTTCTAAACTTATTATATTAGTTAGTTTAGTGATTTAATTATCTTAGTTGTTTTATGACTGTTGTTAAGGACCGGACAGTTACTGAGGCTCTATGGTGATTTATGTTAATGTTTAATATTTTATCCTCTTCACCACTGATTGACTCGTTAGCTGCCCAGGCGATCGGTCACGTCTCTGTTACACACTGTTGGCTAGTACTGGGCATGCACCGGCTCCTGAATGTACCTGAACCCGCTCCAGTGTTGGTCAAGTCTGGTCTTGAAAGAGCTCACACTCGGTGCCGTCACAACACTCTCTGGTAGATTGTTCCAAGAGTTTACAACCCTCACTCCGAAAAAGTTTGCCCTCACAGTTTTCTGGACTTGTGGTTTCTTCAATCTTGAGCTGTGACCCCTTGTGGGGCGAGCGTCCGCCAGCTCCAGGTAAGGACACTCAACTGAGTAGTGCCCCTTGAGATGCCTATACACCTCAATTAGGTCACCCCTTGCCCGTCTGTAGTATAAGCTAGGCAAGTTCAGGCGCTCCAATCTCTCAGGGTAGCTGAGGTGCCGAAGTGCAGGCACCAGTCTGGTGGCCTCCTTTGAACATTTTCAACCAACTGACAGTCCCTAATATCTCCGGGACCAGGCGGGTGACAGTACTCCAGATGGGGAAGCACTTCACTCCTGAAGATCGTTACGAGGGACGGACCGTCTAGATATCTGAACGACCTTCTTATAAGACCCAATAATTTATTTGCTTGATTTACCTTCTTCTCGCAATGGCCCGAGAACTTCAGCACATTGTCAACATACACACCTAGGTCCTTCTCACACACAGTCTCAACTAGTGCAGTTTCTTCATCCCGTTGGGACATATGATACGCCTCCTTACCATTGGTATGCCCCAGGTGCATCCTCTTACACTTCGTGACATTGAATCTCAGCAGCCATTTCTTCGACCATTCCTGGAGCCCACAGAGGTCCTTCTGCAGCTCTTCACAGTCCGCTTGATTCTTGATTTCCCGAAATATTTGGCGTCATCGGCAAACATTTGTATGGAGGAGTTTACAAAGTCAGGCATGTCATTTATGAAGCAAACAAACAACAGCGGGCCCTGTACAGTGAACCCTCAAAGATGTTCACTAAAAGGAGGGACCACCTGTCTCAATCTTCCGGTCTTGTACTAAATGTATAAAAACGATAAATAACGATATAAAAAACACCCAAAATACAGTACATATTATCCTGACCACTGGGGTTAGTTGTACACACTTTTTCCTGTGAAAAAAGCCACAATTTTTAGCAACACATTACTGTACTTATTTTGTACTGAAATTTACTACACTAAAAGACTAAAATTTTTATCTCTTGTTATATGACGTCTATACTCAAATTATTCGTCATCTTGCAAGGATTCCATCAATGAAAGTTATATTCTTCTAATTTTAGTCTGTGACATTTTATAAGATAAAAACTTTAAGCCTTAAACTACCTTCGCCTGTTTTGGGAATGTTTCTTAGGGAGGTTCTTAGCCCAGAACCAACAAATTTTTTGTACGAATCTTCCGAAATCCGGATTTACAGGGTCCGGATCTTCGAGGGTTTGCTTTACACTGATCTGTGGTACCCTGCTTGTGATGAGTACACATGATGATTTCGTGTCATTAATCACCACACACTGCTGGCGGTCATGGAGAGAGTCTCTGATCCACGCTAGGACATTTCCCCGAATCCCATACCTTTTCAGTTTAATTTTCAGCCTTTCGTGGGGTACAATGTCGAAAGCCTTGGCAAAATCTTGATATATATTGTCGATATTACCACCCCGTTCCAGAATATGGGTCCAAACATCCAGTACCTTGAGTAATTGTGTTAAGCAGGAGCGCCCCGGCATAAAACCGTGTTGGCAATCATTTACAAGGTTGTTTCGTAATAGTCCTTCCATGACAGCATCTCTTATAATGCTCTCAAGTACTTTACATATTATGCTGGTCAGGCTCACCGGCCTATAATTATTTGTGGAGTGACGGTCACTTTTCTTGAAGATAGGACTCACATAAGCCATTTTCCAATCACTGGGGACCATTTGTTCATCCAGGCATTTACAAAACAGAATCTTCAGGGGCTCTGCAAGCTCGTTGCACAACTCTCTTAGCACTCTAGGATGCACCATGTCAGGGCCGGGACTCTTATGGACCTTTAGCCTGGACAGTTTATTTCTAATACCCTCTTCTGTGAACACAATGTGGGTCAGTGCTGTGTCGAACCGTCTGTCCTCAAACTCAGGAAGGTTAGTTGCATCCTCTCTTGTGAACACCGAGGAAAAGACACTGTTCATTGCCTCAGCTTTATCCTGGTCAGAATCTGCGTAACTATCATCTTCAAGCCTCAGGTCTGATACTCCTACTCACATTTTTAGTGTTGACTTTGCATAGCGGTAAAACGCCTGTGGCTTTGACTTGACCTTGCTTGCAACCAGCCTCTGGAACTCCTATTCAGCCCTTCTGCACTCTGACTGTGCTTGGTTCCTGGATCTGGCAGACATCCTCCTGTCCTGCTCATTGTTTTACCTAACCCACGTCTTGATGAGGTTTCTCCTTAACTTAGTCTACCGCCACATGGATCATGTGTAGCGGTCTCCTTGTATTCCTAGAGGCACTGGGTTTGGTCTTGGGTATACATTTATCAATCAAATGGGTCACTTTACTAGTTATGATATTCAGCGTAGTGTCTGCGTTCTTATGCCTTAGCGAGTCAGGCCAGTTGATACCCCTCATCTCTTCCCTCATCCCATTGTAATTTCCCTCGTAATATTTGCCCCTTGGTCTGGTTTTGTCGTGAACTAAGTAGTATCAGTTAAATCTGAAGGACTATTTAATATTCAGGTGAAGTATATTCTTACAGATCGGGTAAAGTGATGTGGCAGTTGTGTGTGAGGGTGAACACAACACACTGAGGTCATGTGTGGTGGCACCAAGAGAGATGTTCACTCGTCACCAGGACCAGTGAGTCATGCTGGTGTTGGACCATCTTTCTGCAGTGTTACCAACTAAAACAGGTTAGAAAAGTTACTTTATATTATACTGTTGTGAAACTGCTTAGTCTTTATTAAATGAAATCTTTTATGTTTTAAGTTTTAATGCAGCTTAACTTATGTTGGACCTCTGTATACAAGATGACATTATGTACATCCAACAAACTTACTTATTTTGTTACCTAACCTAAGGTATGGTAAACTAAGGTAAGCTAGAGTCCCTATAATAATAGTAATAATGGTTACCCCTCGTGTAACGAGGATGGCCGGCCCAGGGGCCACCTAGGCATGAATTTGTTTAAGGTGTAGAAGCTATCGCTAACACAACAACCACACCCTGAGTTAACGAGCTGCATGACCCAGTGTCAAGGAATAGTCCGAGAAGACCGGACAACTCGCCAACTGTATTGGCTAACCATTACACCTGAATACGATCCACAAATCTATTAACATCCAGGTCCCCAATTACTGCTGGGTAGACAGAGGCAAGTGGCGTAAAGAAACTTGCCCATAGTTTCACCCTGCTCGAGGATCGAACCCGGATCCGCTCAGTTGCAAGGCGAGCAAGTTGACCATTACATCAGAGGTGGGAACAGAGCTTGTGATCACCAGGCGCCATATTGTTGTCAGTAGGGAGCCGCCCGATTCTACGTCAGTTGCCACTTGACCGTTGCTTAAGATGGACAGATGAGTTATTTTTCTTTACATTATAATGGGAAGTTGTCCATTTAGATGCAGCAATAGGACAGACAAGAGATTTAACATACATAGATTCCCAGCAGACCGTAAAGATGATAATTGTGGGGTAATAGAGTCAGTCATCAGGCTGAAATACTACACCATCATTGTGTGGGGTAATATTTATGGCTGTACAGTACAGTATAGTACAGTATAGTACAGTATAATACAGTACAGTACAGTATAGTATTATTTTTAAGTAATAATACAGTAATAAACAAATGGAACACTTCCATTCCCAAGGTGTAATGGTCGCACTGGTAAATGAAATAAAAGCTCACATCTTGGAGCTGGTATACAGGGGGTCCTCGGGTTACCAACTGGTTCCGTTCCTGATGACGTTCGCAAGACGGAAATGTACATAAGTCAGAACACATGCTATGTGCATACTGTACTGACAGAACAATGATTATATCATAGCCTAAGTCATGTGTGTGTAGGCGGTGGGACGTGTGTGTGGGAGCTCCGTGTTTTTCGTCGAAAAACAGGGTCTTTCCAGGAGTACCCGGTCCGATTTCTTGGAAATCTGATTCGTAAGTGACTAGCGAGTGTCATGACCAGTACAGTATCTATCTGTGATCCCCCTGAGTAGATATAATTGTCAATTTACTGGTGAATCTGTGACTACCACGTGAGGTGTAGGCCCACCAAGCTCCCCTCAGTGCCATGGCTTGTAATCTGAGCCCTGTCCACCCCTCACTCTCCCCCACCATCCCACCAGGCCACCCAGCTGACCACAACTCAGCCGTCTCCACACTGCCAGCTACTCAGCCCTCACTAGCTCCAAACATTCCAATTTCAACAAAAAGGGTAGAAAAGTACATGATGATGATGATGATAGGAATTAGAATGGGGGTGGAGGAGAAGGGAGAAGAGAAGGCATTGGGGTGGAAGAGAAGTCACCCCATGGTGCCATTTCACCCATAAAATTTTAGTTCTTTTGGTGTAATTCAAGATTATTTTCTTTAAATCAACACTGCACTGCATTATATATTGTCAATATGTAAAATAAATTTCAAAATGACCAATAATTTGCTTGGAAACACAGAAAAAAAGCATTTAGTTGAAGAGAGTCTCAAGCAAGATGTTACCTCCAGTGAAAAGAGAGAGAGAGACTAACGCCTGTTTGTGTGTTAACAGGCTGGATGGCGCGCCAGAAATTAGTTTCTTTACCTTCAGTTATGTTCAATAATTGTTAAAATTACTAAAATATTTAATATTAAACTTTTAAGATTATTGAATAGTATAAACTTCTTGATATTTACTAAAATGGTAAGGAATATAAGCTCTAGAACCAATTACTGTATTGGCGGACTAATACTACAGCTGGTGGACCGCCCAATGCAAGCGAAAACATGTGGAGGTCGGCTCGTAAGAAACTCGTTAATCGAGGGATTGCTCGTTAACCGAAGTTAAGAATCTTATGGAAGGTAACTCGTTAACCGAAGTCTCGTTAACCGAGGCGCTCGTTAACCGAGGGACCACTGTATAGTATATATCAGGTGCCTCAAAGAGAGCTCAGGTTCTCAACTGGCTCAGCCATGTTAATATTGTTATTTCTATCCACTTTGTATCTGTATTTTTCTGGCTAAATAAAATGTTTCAATTCAATTCAATGTTTGAATTGAATTTATATACATCTAAAATAATTTAATTGAAGACAAAAGAAGAAATAGAATGAAAAAATACAGTAAATGAAAGTAAAAATAAGTCACCAGGTAAATAGAATACTGTGTTGTAAATTTCAAGTTTAACTGTGTTCGTAAGTTGGACGCTCATTAGTCGGGGACCTCCTGTATTGAGATTGATATTGAAACAGTTTATTTAGCCAGAAGAACACAGATACAGAGTGGATAATAATAACAATGCAGTGGTCCCTCGGTTAACGAACACAATTCGTTCTAGAAGGTCGTTCGTTAACCAAAAATTTCGTTAACCGAAACCATGGTTTCAATGGGATTTTGGGTAATTGGTTCCAGCTCACCGAAAATTACATACAAAGTAAAAATAAATGCAGTAAAGTACACTTACTTTGAGGTGTGTATGTAGAAGGCTCCTGGTTGATGACGATGATGATGGGAATTAGAAGTGGGAGTGGAGGAGAAGGGAGAGGAGAAGGAAGTGTGGTGGAAGAGAAATCACCCCATGCTTCATGCCGTCATTTCACCCATAAAATTTTAAGTTCACTAGGTGTAATTCAAGATTATTTTCTTTAAATCACCACTACACTGCACTATATATTGTCAATATGTAAAATAAATTTCAGAATGACCAATAACTGTACTGTAAAAACGTAAAAATAGTTTATGTTTAAGAGAGCCACAAGCAAGATGTTACCTCCACTGACCAGAGAGACAAACTGACGCCTGTTGGGTGAGTTGAGTGGCTGAATGGCACACCAAAAACTAGTTTCCTGTACTGCAATTATGTTAAATAAGTGTTAAAATGACTAAAAAAATTTAATACAGTCATGCGCCGGTTAACGTCCAACCGAACAATGTCTGATCGCATATACGTCAGTGCCCCCGTGACGCCTGCTGGACCACCACTCCACGATCCCCTGACGGAGACACGATGATCCTTCCCATACTGGCAAGATATTATGTGTTAAAGGAATATCCTTCCTTAGGCTTTAGTAAACATTTGCCTCCAGGTGTAATGTTAACCTACATCTATTGAGGATAAAATCTTTCACCTACATATTGACAATAACACATTTGCTGTTATTAGACATATCTAGTTGCCTCAACAATTGCAACCCCAGTTGCAATTGGGGTTGCAATTTCAAATTCTGTGTCATTACTAAGGAATAGTAAAGTCTCTGGTGCACTCTAAGATTAAGAGAGAAAACGGAGGACTCAGGCGTCCTGAAGCGAGAGAAAACGGACTCCTATGATGGGCGACACAAATTCGCAAATAACATCTGACATCTGCTTACCAGGAGTGTGTACAGTTCAACTTGTGTACAAATAAATGTATATTCCCTTTATGTGTTTGCCCTTAGGGTAATTATTTCTTTTACCTGTATAGTATATACAGGTGCTCCTCGACTTACGACGGGGTTAGGGACCCAAATCCAGATCGTAAGTCGAATTGGTTGTAAGTCGAAAATGCTTAAATAATACCTTTGAAAATCTAAAGTGAGTGTTTCCTTTTCTTCTCTGCACCACGAGACTCTCACTTTTAAGCTTGCCAGCCATTTTAAAGTGAATTACAAAAAAAAATTTTGTCAGTACACAGCGCACTCACTAACGTTGGGACTCGAAAATACGTAATTTGACGAAATTTTGGTACGACTGAGGCGGTCGTATGTCCCGGTGGTAATAGGTCGAGTATGTTGTAAGTCGAGGAGTAGCTGTACTGTGTGTAGACTCTCACAGTAGAGTTACAAATATATAATAATGGGAAATACTCGATATAATAAAAACCAAATGAATATTAAAAATGTTGAGTCTACCCCTCAAGTCTACTGTACTGTCTCTAGAACAAATGTCTCCCTGTCCCTGCCACGAAAATGCCGTCAACTTTAAAACTACCCGCAGACATTCTTGGGTACATCCAGGACCGCGAAATAAAAATCCACGAATTATGCGGGCGTACTGTTACTCCACTGAGAACCTTTTTCCATTTATTACCACTCTTGGTTGCCTGTCCTCGAGCCAGTTGTTAATCCACGTCAAAATCTTGCCTGTGATGCCATGTGCCTGGATCTTAGACACTAACAGTGCCTGTGGGACTTTGTCAAACACTTTAGAAAAATCCATGTACAACACATTCACCGTTGAGCCTTGGTCCACATGTTCTATTGCTGTTTTAAGGAATTTAAGTTTGTCAGGCAGGATTTTTTGTCCATGAAACCATGCTTTGACGAGACTTAACCTAACCTAACCTAGCCAACCATGGGCTGTGGTTGGCTCTGGCACAGTGTTTTAGTGGTAGAAAGTTACTCTCTGTGATCTCTGAAGCCACAAATATTCTCTCTAATTCCAGGTGTTGTTCTTCTCCCTCAGGCGGTGATGATGCGTCGAGCTGGTTCTTTACCTCTGTGCAGAAGGCCGCTTCGAAGTGTAGTGTACATCCTGTCGTGCGCCGGGGCGTTTATCCTCGGCAGTTTGATGACTCTGATGTCCGTTGACCCCATGAGGTGTGACATTCACCAGTGTACTGAAAAAATTAAGCGCATTGATGTAGAGGACACCAACAGCTGGCTGGGCATGTGGGGCCACAACAACAAGGGTCCAGAGAAGAACGTCTTCCTGGTCATCGTGTTCCTCAGCGCTCCCGTCAACCTGGAGCAGAGGAACGTCATCAGGCAGACGTGGCTCAGCGAAGAAAAATCGGACACGCTTCATTTCTTCGTTGTGGGAGTGGGAAGCTTGAGCGAGGACCTCAACACCACGATACAGTCAGAACAGAAGAGATTTGGAGACATGTTATTGTTGAACAACATTATTGACTCTTACCAGGCACTCACTAAAAAGCTGCTGGCATCTTTGGTCTATGTTCACTATAACGTAAAGTTTAGATTCCTGCTCAAGTGCGACGACGACACTTATGTTCAGATTTCGCAACTGCATCGGGAGCTGAAGGGCGTCCCATATAAACAGCGTCTGTATTGGGGATTCTTTGACGGCCGAGCGACGCCCCGGAAGACCGGACCTTGGAAAGAGGCAGACTGGGTGTTGTGCGACAGCTATCTGCCGTACGCCCTGGGCGGCGGGTACATCCTCTCCTCCGACGTCGTCACCTTTATCGCCACCAATTCCAAATACTTAAAACTTTACAATAATGAAGATGTCTCTCTGGGCACTTGGTTGGCCGCCCTAGACCTACACAGAGTCCACGACACAAGATTCGACACGGAATATAAATCCCGCGGCTGCAACAACGACTACCTGGTGACGCACAAACAGAGTACGCTGCACATGAGAGAAAAATTTAACTCCCTAAAGGCCACGAGTCTCTTGTGTCGAGAACAGTTCCAGGTGAGGAAGTCTTACAAGTACAACTGGAATGTTCCGCCCTCACAGTGCTGTGTCAGGAACGACTCTTCCATACCTTAAATAACTACTCAGTGTCCCTCACGCAGTGTATACAGTGTTGAGTGAGTCAGTGTCCCTCACACAGTGTATACAGTGTTGAGTGAGTCAGTGTCCCTCACACAGTGTATACAGTGTTGAGTGAGTCAGTGTCCCTCACACAGTGTATACAGTGTTGAGTGAGTCAGTGTCCCTCACACAGTGTATACAGTGTTGAGTGAGTCAGTGTCCCTCACACAGTGTATACAGTGTTGAGTGAGTCAGTGTCCCTCACACAGTGTATACAGTGTTGAGTGACTTACTGTTTTGGTTATTGGTGGTAGAGTTGAGTCTGTACTGTACTGTACTGTACTGTACTGTACTGTACTGAACTGTATTGAATTGTACTGTATACTGTATTGTACTGTACTGTATTGAACTGTACTGTGCTGTATTGAATTGTACTGAATATTGTATTGTACTGTACTGTACTGTATTGAATTGTACTGAATACTGTATTGTACTGTACTGTACTGTATTGAACTGTACTGTACTGTATTGAACTGTACTGTACTGTATTGAATTGTACTGTACTGTATACTGTATACTGTATTGTACTGTACTGTATTGAACTGTACTGTGCTGTATTGAATTGTACTGAATACTGTATTGTACTGTACTGTACTGTATTGAATTCTACTGTATTGTCTTGTCCTCAACTGCTTAAAAAGGAAAGAATTTGAAACAAATGAAATCTACATTTTCTTACTCTAAAAAATGATCTGTAAATTGTGACAATAATCGTTACAATCATTTTATATATTGTAAGATTCTGTTCCAGTGTTCCCAGGTATAATGTTCCCGACCCTACAAACATTAGTAGTGTCCTGCAGCCAGTGGTCAAACAAACATATTTTACTTTATCGTCTTAGCCAGCCGCTCATCACATATTTTGGATGCTGTAATGCCGGCCACTAATACAGTACTGTACTGTATCAATTTTTTGGCTATATGCGGCTGCAGATATGAGGGTTACGGACCCGTGCTTTACTCTATTGGTGGTAAAGTGCTTGTCTCAGGGTCACACGCCACTGTGTCCTGGGATCAGATCACCAGAATGGTGCTATCCAGTGTGGCCCTCACTACCAAACACTGGATCATGGAGGATGGCCCTCACTACCAAACATGGCCACACAACACTGTTATGTATGTGGCCAGAGAAAGGTAGATGTAAATAATAATAATAATTTAAATAAGAGAATCAAGCTTCCCGATTTATTTGATACAGTTTATTCATGAGTGTGAGGGTAAGAGAGCCATCATGTGGGCGCCTAATAAAAGACAAGGTGTTATTGACTAGAGTGACAGTACACATTATGAAGATGTCTCAGCACAACACATTAGTATAGGAAAACTTGTAAATATGATAATTAGTGACATTGTTAGATGAGACAGTACTGTACTTGTTGTTATTACTGTACACAGCTTTAAGGTAAGATTTGTCACAAGATAATATATGCTCTAGATGTTGTTACAGTGTTTATAATACACCAAGGGAGTATACTACAGCAGAACCCCCACTTAGTCCAGAAGGAAGTCCGTTATGTCGAGGTTCCGTTAGATGTGAGACCCCCATTTAACGGACTGTAACCATTAGATGGAGGGTCGTTACATGGAGGCTTCACTGTTGTTTATATTATAATGTTGTCCAGTATTTTGTTTAATGGTGCCATAGTTTATGTACTGTACTGTAGTTATGGTGCCATAGTTTATGTACTGTACTAGTCTTGTTTAATGGTGCCATAGTTTATGTACTGTACTGCAGTTATGGTGCCATAGTTTATATACTGTACTGTAGTTATGGTGCCATAGTTTATGTACTGTACTATAGTCCTGTTTAATGGTTCTGACTGGTACATCCTATATTTTATGGGTGTGGATAATGTTAAGTGATGATGATGGTGGTGGTGATGATGATGATGATGATGATGATGATGATTATGATGTTAAATATAAGAATTATTAATTATTATATTGTCATTGTGATAATAATGGTCCATGATGACAGTTACTTGCTCTCCTCTTATTATTTAGTATGTGGGTAAGTAATGTAGTGTATATTACCATTGTTTTAGTATATTGCGTCACAGTGTACATATTATTGTATAAATAAATTATTACTATGGAGAATGTCTTGTGATCATCCATCTTATATATAATATTGATGTACTGGTCAAACCTTCCTGGACGTCTGGTGAGTAATTATATCATCTACTTATAGTTGGTTAATGTAATAATAATAATAATATATTCAGTAAAGTTGTCATACAGGTTTACAATGGGATAAACATGTAAGGCTTTGGGGAACTCACCACCAGAGTAACAGTGTGATTTTTGTACCATTCATTTCAGAGAGTTTTGTTCTGCTATGACACAAGATGCTATGGCCAGTTCACCTTTGGTTTACTGGCAAAATGTCATTGATTTTTATGGTGTAAAACTCCCGGCGTCTCTGTGCTGCCTGTTGAGTGTCTGGCGAGAGTAAAGTAAAGTCAAACTAGCCATCTACCTTACCAAGTTCTTTAGTGGATCATATTGGTCATCTAGAGAGTGTTACCATTATTATGTTTTTGCTTGAATTCAATATTTTCATCAATGTTTAATTTCACACCATTTCATTATCGATGTTAACGTTATTACAAGGATCAAATTCTGCATTAATTTACCTTTAAAATGAGACCTTACTGAATAAAATTGATAAATGTTTGGAGGTTTTATGACATTTTGAATATGTACAAACTTTAAACCCCTTTTTCTCAAATCTTGGTTTTGGTGTGTTCACAGTTGCCTTAATTAACGCCACATATAAACTCTGCAGGTGTACGGTCCAGGTAGGCCGTGGGAGTACAGTATACTGTGCCAAGACAGTGCAGGTGAACAACAATGGCAAACAGTAAAGCCTAGTTGACATTCCATCCAACACGTGAAGTCTGACTTGTCTGCTGAGTTGTACACCAGCTGCTGAGTTAGGGTCGTGGGAGGACTTTTACTTACTTTACTTTTATCTTCTTCACCATTGATCGGCTCGTTAGCTGCTTGGGCGATCGGTCACGTCTCTGTCACGCAGTGTTGGCAAGTACTGGGCATGCACCGGCTCCTGAAGGTACCTGAACTTGCTCCAGTGTTGGTCAAGTCTTGTCTTCAAAGAGCTCACACTCGGTGCCGTCACAACATTTTCTGGTAGATTGTTTCTAGAGTTCACAACTCTCACTCTGAAAAAGTTTGCCCTCACAGTTTTCTGGACTTGCGGCTTCTTCAACCTTGAGCTGTGACCCCTTGTGGGGCGAGCGTCCACCAGCTCCAAGTAAGGATGTGGGGTAGGTGATGTTTGGGTTCACACTCAGGATGGGATGGAGAAAGGAAACTCACAATGTGCTCTCTGTATGCATGTTGTATTGGATGTACAATGCAGCTTGGTGCTGGGAAGTGGCAGCGTGGTTACAAGCGTTGAGTAGAGAGAGCTGGTTGGTGAGGGTGCTCAGAGGAGGACAGCTTATGGGTCGCCATGCTCGCCGGCGGGAGCGAGGGCCGCCAGGCAGCGGCGGAGGAGGATGTGTTGCTTGCGTGGCTTACTAGTTGACCTCCGTCATGTAAGGCGGCGCTGGTTGACCTAGACCACGAGGCATACACTGGGGAATTCGCGGGGTCGGCTACTCAGCGACAAGAGTGTTTGTAGCGGAAGACCGTGTAGATATCTGAACGACCTTCTTATAAGACCCAATAATTTATTAGCCTGGTTTACCTTCTTCTCGCAATGGCACGAGAACTTCAGCTCATTGTCAACATACACACCTAGGTCCTTCTCACACACAGTCTCAACTAGTGCAGTTTCTTCATCCCGTTGGGACATATGATACGGCTCCTTACCGTTGGTACGCCCCAGGTGCATCCTCTTACACTTCGTGACATCGAATCTCAGCAGCCATTTCTTCAACCATTCCTGGAGCCCACAGAGGTCCTTCTGCAGCTCTTCACAGTCCGCTTGGTTCTTAATTTCCCGAAATAACTTGGCTTCATTCGCAAACATTTGTATGGAGGAGTATACAACGTCAGCATGTCATTTATGAACAAACAAACAACAGCAGGCCCAATACACTGCCCTGTGGTTCCCCACTTGTGACAGGTATGGATGACGTTTTCGTACCCTTAATCACCACACATTGCTTGCGGTCATGTAGAAAGTCTTCTATCCACGCTAGGACATTTCCCCGAACTCCGTACCCTTCCAGTTTGATTTTCAGCCTTTCATGGGGTACACTGTCGAAAGTCTTGGCAAAATCTAGGTAAATATTGTCGATATGGCCGTGAGTCTTATTTGGCCGTGTGTCTTATATGGCCGTGTCTCTCATATGGCCGTTTGTCCTATATGGCCGTGTGTCTTATATGGCCATGTGTCTCATATAGCCGTGTGTCTTATAAGGAGTAATACAATCTCCCACCTGGAGCACTGCCGTTATGAGTATTTGTCTTTTGTTTTGTTCTTGTGTTTGAGAGCTCAGTCACTACTTAGTTGGAGAGGGAAACTTTACAACATTAAAATGAGTTTGTAGCCTCATTGTCATACGCCGCTGTGTAGAGTAACTTAGTCTGTCGATTAACTTTGTGTAAGTGACTTGTCAACTCATGGTTGGGAGACCTCCGTTCCAACCCTGACCTGACCTCACGCTAAGCCACAAATTCCATCCATACACACAGAGAGAGAGAGAGAGAGGTACCTGTAGGCCCCGATGTGGATCAGTGACCTGTACCCGAGTGGGCTAATCCTGTAAAACGAAGAAAAAACCAAAACACGCAGAGTAAACGTATATTGTTAAAGTCTACCCTAATTATTTCGTTTTAAGGATTTAAAGAAAATGTTATTATTTCGTGGGTAACTAATATACTCTCTATTTGTATATAGTGAGTCGGTAACTAGTATTTTATAATTTTCACCAAGTCACAAATGTGTCTGAGCTCTTTGGAGGGTCAATCACGCAATGAAATTCCTTTAAAAAAATGCTAAATATCTCTTGAATCCCTTTCTTGGTTCTCATTACAATGTCACTTGGACTACTGTTAGTCATGGTGCTCTGTCTTAACACAGAAGCTAAAACCTAAGCCTCTAATTGTTCAGAACAAGGCGGTTAAGTCATTTGGGGTAATCTCATTTCTCCAGTCGGTGTCGCCATAGTTAAAGTCCCCCATGATAAGGAGGTGGCTAGGGTTGAGCACTGTTGCGTTGTTTATTAAGGCTC